TCACACAGGCTAGGTCGGACATCCGGTGATGAGCATCGCACCTCTTTGGATTTCCACCTGCTCCGCGGCCCACCCTGCCGCCCACAAGTTCTGACATCTTGGATCTCAGGAAAAGCATGAAGAAGCGAAACGACTGCAATACCCGGGTTGGCTCGAGAAAGGTGACCAGAACGCTGGAGTTTCTAAACACAGCCATGTAGAGAGTGGTCGGATAACAACTGCTCACAGTCCATTATAAGTTGCATAAGCACCACTGCTCAATCCAACGGGAGGAGCACAGCAGAGACAAAAAGTTCAAAGAGCTGGTGTCGAGGGCCGAAAATGGCGATTACGCGGGCACCGTTTTCATCGACGACAAAATTCCTCACATGGAGCGGAGCTACAATCTTCAAACTCCGAGGATGCCCGCATGAGGTCTTGAGGAAGTCAGTGAGAGTGAAAGGAATATTCGCCACAAGCAGCAGCCGAACCTTATCATGGTCTGGACGGGGGTCTCACTGCCTGTTTACAAAGGAATACAACTTGATACTAGACCGAGCCAAGGGACATTTCGGTGCACCATCTGTTACTGAGGTATCTAGCCACTTTGAGGAGGGGTGATGATCTTTTCAATAGGACCCAGCTTCTGCATAGGAGGCAAAAATTGTTCAGGAGCGCTGTTAAGGCACTCTTTCCGATTTCACATCCTCGAACGAATGGCTCTCCTATCCCTTGATTTCAGCGTGCTGGACCATCCTATGTGGGCTATGTTAGAGGGCAGAGCCTGCACTAAACATTGCATCCACATGGATGAGCCGGAGCCTTTTCTCTGCAAAGTTTCGAAGAGAACACCCAGGATGCCATGCGGGCCACAGTAGAGTTGCGTTCGAAGCAATTGGGAGCCATACTCACAACAACAGGGGAGCATATCCAATGAATGTCATTCCTTTCAATATGTAAATGTATTGCTAAAATTTTTGTAAAACCTCTTAAGGAACTAAAAGAAGTTACAAGTAAAGAAAAGTGGTGCAATATTTATGGGACACCCTGTACTATATGACCGCTACAGAAACGATTCTAGAGAAAGCCTTTCAGCTGCTAAAGGGTGGTTACTCTTGAAAAATCCTAAAGAGTTCGGGCGCGTAAAATAGTCACTCTGATAACCTCTAAGCGACGCCAAGGCTTTAATACTTTGTTTTAACAAACAGCAACCACAACAAATCAATCCAGTATATTCATTTTCACGTGCTTAAAAAGCCTCGTGTGCGATGGTGCATGATTAAAAGGAGTGCATGATTAAAAGGTTAAAAGGAGATGGATTCACTAGAAGGAAATCAAACTGAATTACTGGATATGAAATGAGTCAGAATTCAGACCGACAAGATGAATTTCAGAAGAAAGAACAGAGCATTCTCGTGATAGGCTACGGTAAGTTCTGATGACATCCATGTACTCAGATCACGCAGTCGGCATAATGAAGGATAAGGCATTACTTTCGCCCGATGGAATAGCCCTGCTCGGGTTTTTGTTGTGAGAATAATTTGGACTTGACTCTGATGAGATGATCGTTAGAGCATGACATTTCATAGTAGGAACTTCGCATTACAGTATTTTTTGGGAAAGTGCAAATCGAGGTGCTGTGCTTTAGAGAGCTGATATGAAGCCCTTTTCGCTCGGATGTAATGTATATTTGGAGACTGAGAACTTCCTTAATCACTTGAATGATAATGGCAGACTATGGTTCGTTTTCAGAACCTATCCCTTCCCCCCCCCCTGCAACCGCTTTCAAGTGACCCTACCAAAGATAATTTTGCGTTAAAAATTCAGTCAGGAATTGTGTGCAGAAAGTGTTGCTGCACGTAAGACA